TCAAATACTCATCATTTAAAAAAAAAAAAAAAAAATTGGTTTATTTTTACAGCTGAACTGATATTTGTTAAATAAAATTTTAATTTAAATGGTAAAGTTTGTGCAATTTATTTAAATGAATAAAAAAGAAACATAGAAAGGGCATTTTGATTCCACCAGACTTTCCGACAAGAGAAGCGCATTACTTACTCCGTATCGCATGCCCTGACAGGACTACACAAGTCGACACACGTACAGGGTTCCAAATTGAAAATCCGCTGGAACTAGCTGTCTCGGCCCCATCTGTTTGAATTTGCATTGTCGGCCATGTCCTTTTCAACTCTGATCCCGCCTGATTTAAGTCATTTACCTAATTTAATGAAAAATTTTGGACTCAATTTTAGATATTTTCTTCTTTGACCCCTTTCTTTTAAATAAAAAAAAGGGGCAAAGAAGAAAGAGAAAGAAAGAGAAAACATGTTCATTTTTAATTCTGCAACTCTATTAAATCGAAAGTCGGAGTTCGTTCACATCTCATTTCCTGTTTTCCTTCTTCATCGCACTCAACTCTTTTGTTAAATTACGGAAATAAGCAATTTAAAAATAATATTTACATTGTTTTTGAATTTCTACCCAGGGGACTTGCAGCAGTTCTGTGTTATATAACTACAGGGAGTCGGGGACTGATTTCAGTAAATCAATTTTGCCACAAAGCACATCCTAACTTGATGATTATCATTGCCTATTTGAATTGATTTATTTTCTACGAAACCCCTAACTGCCATTGTTTTGTGTGTGTGAGCTCATATCCGGCGGAGTGAGAGCAACTGTCGGCCTCCGCCATTGCCAGGAAAGAGCAGTCGTCGCCCGTCAAACCTGAAAGTTTTACCTAGCGACGATGCGCTAGATTTATCTTGGCGCTTTGTCATTGAGTCTCCATGTACCAACCAGTGCAGATGTTGAGATCCAACAAAGACTGACGAACACGTTGGCCGCCAACGGCGGAAAGAAGTTCGGTTTCACCGTGCAGAACTACGGCGAGGGTGTCAAGGTGGAGACCAAGGTCGTGACGGCAACGATCGCTGGGATGCTACTATACGAGGAGCACGTAGTGGTGTATAAGCTTGACAAGGTGCCGAGGGCCCTTTTCGACGAGGTCGAGGTGCAGGCGCTGTCACCGGTTCCATCAAAGAAGCCAAAGGCGAACGTAGGGACAGGAAGGGCGGCAGGGGTGAGAGGGCCTTGTCAACAAGGTGGCTGAGATTTTGGTCAATGGATTTGGAGACGTGAGGCAAGGATGGAGATCCATTTTTCAGTCAAAGAAACCGGCCGTGACGGCAACCGTTAGGTGTATAAGTTGGCGGAGCCAATACATCCGAGAAAGTGGTTGCAAATTCTGTGTGTAAAATTTAAAAATTAGTGATAATATTTTATAATATATATATTTATTAGTAAAATGTTCAGAGACGCACGTGTTCTCTAACTCAACATGACTCCGCAACTGGATATACATCGGAGTAAGCATAAAATGGCTAAACCCGATTCAGCACCTCAACGCTCTTATTCGTAAATCGTTGATTTATATTAAATTTTATTTTATAATAATTTCAAATATTGTAACTTATCTATAGTTTGATTAGGTGACGGATTAAATTTTAAAAATCTACTATTATCATTCGACCTGCCCACTGTATATATGTAAATTTTTAATATTATTTATTAAATTTATTTATTATTTTTAATAATTACAACTATCATGTATTTACTTTTGATCTTATTTCTATTTTTTATAACTGTAGTATTCTTTTTTATATTAATTAAATTATTTGAGGTCATGTTATCACTTTTCCAATTACTCTTATTTACAAATGTAAAGTTATCTACTTAACTACATGTTTGGAACACCCAATACTACACAGTTTTTATAACTAAAAATTCATTTACATTATATAAGAACAACTTGGAAAATGACCATTTCATTTTATGTTATAACGTTTTAATTATTTTAGTTAAAATCTTAATTTTAACTTTATATTTTATAGTTCAAAATTAATTTTATTTAATCACTCAAATTTTAATTTAATTGTAATCTCATTAATAGCTAATAATGTTTTATATAAGAGATTTATACAACCCTTTTCAATATTAATGATTTTAGTAAATCAATCTACCAACCCATGCCACGAAACTATTTTTACTTGAATAATTTGAACTGTATGGTTAGAAAGAATAATAAGACATGTACAATTTGAGGCTTTTGTCATTCGTTCAAATTAAATCAAGTTAATTTTTTGTTTACAAACTTGCTGAAATCTGCCGCACTCACCCCTATTTAGCATGTTTGATAAGTCAAAATAAAGACATGACATTTAAACAAAATATATAGGCAACTGATGGAGAGGGAAATACCTAAATTTATGTTGTGCTTTTTTTATATGTTTAATAAATATGTATGTATGTATGTATGTATACGTGTGTGTGTGTGTGTGTGTGGGTGTGGGTGTGAGTTGGTTACTAAAAGTCTTTTTTATTTAAAATGAGAAATTGTAACCTTTTTTCATTCATATATTAAAATGAATTGAGTCAGGTCAATTTATAGGAATAATCTAATTCTTATATATATATATATATGTGTGTGTGTATGTAAATTACATTTGATGCTTTTCTTCTATTCAAACGTGAAAAATATATGTATAAAATATATTTTCTTCTGAATCAGCATTAACATGTAATACCTTTTCTTTATATAGTTTCTAATATACAATATTAGATAAAAATCTTACAATTAATATATTAGTCTAGTATGTGATTATTCCCATTATTAAAATAAACATGTTAACAGAATACTTGTCAATGGCATCTATTATGAAAATATCGAGGAATTTCTAATTATTAAAATTTTATTAGTTTTAATTAAATTTTAAGTACTTAATAAAATTTAAAAATATTTTACAAAAACGAATATATTTTAAGAAAGACATTATGAGCATAATTTGTGTATTGTGCATTGACAGGATTTGACATAATTTTTCACATTATTGAACACCATATTTGTATTTAAGTTTAATAGAAATTAATTTTTCTAAAAAAATAATTTTATACCTCATAAATATGAAAAAAAAATCCAAAAATTAAGAATCTAAATGAGTTAAACTATATAATAACCATGCTATGGTCTTCAATTGTTTAAATTTCAAATTTTCTTCACAAAATAATAGATTTTATTCTTCATCTCATGAAAATATAATTTAATTTAATATTTTAGTGAGGACTTGTTAGTTAATTAAATTTGCAGTTAGAAAAATTAGTTATGCACTTTTGATATTTGACTGGCCTTTCCCACCCATTTTCTTCGCCACAAATCGGGTAAGTAAAGCAAGGGAAAAAAAGGGGTAAATTGGTTCTCTAATTTTTTTTTTTTGGACGAAATTAGCCCCTGGATTGCAATTTCAATTGTCTCGGCGTCTCGTCCCGTCCTCTTGTCCTATTTGCGCTCTCTCCGTTATCCAAGCTCTGCTGAGATTCGACAGATTTCACGGCGTTCTCGTGGTCACCTCGTCCCCGCCCTCTCAATCTCTCGTACGTTCTACCAAGGAATACTGCATAGTGAAACAATTTTATAATATTTTAATACAAAAAAGCTTCGCAATATAACAATGTTCAGAGAGCTTTAAATTCCATTCTCCTCCATACCTGCACAATTGCATTCTTTCTTACTGTCAAGAGGACCCATCAATTGCTCCTTTATTTCTCCTTGCGCTCTCCTTGCACGTTCATGATGGACAGATAGCGCTCCATGCTCTTCTTCACCTTTGGCCTCCGCCTCCGATCTATCACATCAAGAAAATAGGTACATTCAGCTCATCGCTCTTCCGGATCCACCCTTTATCTTAGTTTCAGATTAATATTTCAACTGGGTTTAAGTTATATAGCTGGAGTTTTGCTCTTTCCATTCAATGCCCCGCGCAAATTTTGCTTGGTCTGTTCATTATACTATGATCTCTTGCAGATCCGACTCTTTACCATGCATTTGTTTGCTTTTTCTGGTAAACATTTTAATTTTCCACTACATGTGCACTTTTCCTAGTTAAAACTACAAACATTTTCCAATCTCAATAAATCACTAATTCTTTGTTTTAGTTAAACGTTCTTGTTATTGTTTGACTTCTCCCCGAGGTAACTATGCAGAGTGGGCTTCTTAGTGTATGTCCAACGCTGTGTGTTCTTTTTTGCTGGCTTTGATTTGTCGTAGATCTGGATGGATTTACGAACCTGGATTTGGTATGCCTTCGGAGTGATTTTTTTTTTTAATAAATTTTTGTGGGGTTTTACTTATTTGGTATAGGATCTTTTCATATAATTTATGGATCTCAAGTAACTCTTTCTGTTTAAAACTTCGAAGTTATGTACGCTTGCTGAAGAGTTTGTGTTGATATCTTGCATAAAGCCATAGGCTATATTTGTTTTGTTGGCAAATAAGTCTCATTTGTTCTCAAGTAAAAAGTGCTAATTGCCATAGAAAATTAGGTATTATTAATTTCATTCTGAATTGGCCTCATGCCCAGAAGTAATTTTGAGTCCTGGTTCTTTCTTCCCTAGCTTTATTTATTTATATATTTATTTTAAAATAAATCTCTCTCTCTCTCTCTCTCTCTCTCTCTCTCTCTCTCTCTCAATCTCAAAATTAAATACTGGCGGTATGGGATTAAGATTTGTTTAGTTCTTGTCTATCTTCTGCATTCTTGAGAGAAAATCAAGTCTGATGGTTGCTATTTGTGACACAAGTATGGTGAGTGTTGATAACTTGCTCATGACATGCTTATAAAAATTTGGAAGAATGTCTAACTGTTTCTGTTTTCATTGTTAATCAGTTAGTAGGTTATTAGCATAGTTACTTTTTGTGTCCTCTAGTTTATTTTATTGAATCAGGTGTGATGGGCTTGAAGCAGTCTGAAGAATTTTATATGATTGTTTGTCTTATTGCAGGTGTGAACTTCTGAGGAATAATTACATTAATAAACATGGCATCAGGGAAATACTCCAGGATTGATGGAAAAAAATCTCTGTCGAGTTACTGTTCAACGGTGACTATAGTTGTGTTTGTGGCCCTTTGCTTAGTTGGGGTGTGGATGATGACATCATCATCTGCAGTTCCTTCTCAGACTGTAGATCTGTCCTCTCAGGAAAACAAAAATGGGGCAAGGGAAGAAGTTAGTGAAAGCAACCCAAGCAAGGTAAGCAATGATAATAATGAGACCAACTCTAAGGAGTTTGAGGATAATCATGGTGATTTGCCTGAAGATGCAACGAAAGGGGAAGGCACTGTAAACGTTGCTCAGGAGGAGAAAAATAATGCTGAAGTGAACTCAAACACTTCTGAGAAAAACATGGAAGGAAACAAGGAAGAGAAGCCTGAAAATGATCCTTTAAAGGAGAGTGTAGCAGAAGAGACCAAGTCAGAAGATGGCCCCAAGGCCGAGGCAGAAAATGGAGAAGAAAAATCTGGAGATGGGAATTCTAATATGGAAGACAAAGATTCTGAAGTGGGGAAGACAAGAATGGACATTGTTAATGACAACTCTGGAGGTGATGCTAAGGAGGGGTCTACTAGTGGGAAATCTGATTCAGTGGAGGGTGAGAAGAATACAGTGGATGGAACAAAAGATGCTGATGAAGTAGCTGGTAAGATAGAAGATAAGGTGGTGCAAAATGAAAAGAAAGAGATAGATCAGACATCTGGAAATGAAAATGTGGATGCTCAGTCCAAAGATGTGGCTCCAGGTGAGGTATTTCCTTCTGGGGCTCAGACAGAGCTTCTGAATGAAACTACAACTCAAATTGGGGCTTGGTCAACTCAGGCTTCAGAATCCAAGAATGAAAAGGAAGCACAGAGTTCTCCAGAAGCAAAAGATCAATCGGGGTTCAATTGGAAAATTTGTAATGCTACTGCTGGGTATGATTTCATCCCTTGCCTTGATAATCTACGAGCGATTAAGCACCTGAAAACTACAAAGCACTATGAGCATAGGGAAAGGCACTGCCCAGATGATCCCCCCACTTGCCTTGTTCCTCTTCCTGAAGGTTACCAACGCCCGGTTGAGTGGCCTACTAGCAGGGAAAAGGTACAGTGATTTGGTTCTCCGAAGCATGTTTGTTCTTTCTCAATTTTTCTTCCTGACATTGTTATTTCTCCAATTCTTGTTTGTACAGATATGGTATCATAATGTTCCCCATACAAAACTTGCGGAATATAAAGGGCATCAAAACTGGGTGAAAGTTACTGGTGAATTCCTTACTTTTCCTGGTGGTGGGACTCAATTTAAGCATGGTGCTCTTCATTACATTGATTTTATACAACAGGTTAATATATCTAAATCCCAACAGATCCATTTTAGAATTTGATTCTCTCAGAAAAAGAAAAATAATATCTTTTTTGATTTTGCTAGTTTTACATTTATTCCTAAATAGTTTGAAATCAATACAATGCACGTGTGCTGTAGCCTTGTTTCTTGTTGACTTCTTTTCTTGTTTCGTCTCTGTCCTTCTGTTACTTGGAAGGAAAGGTTAGTACCTAGGATGAAGAAGAACTCCTTTTGTATTTCTTCAAAGACCAAACACAAATATACTTTAATTAAATTTATTCTGTAATGTGTCATGTTGCATTTAATGGCATTGTCACAGGTCAAAATTTAAATTGATACGGGTCTACTAGATACCATTTCATTTCAAAATAACTAAAGATTCTATTGCAACTGAAGTACCATTTTTGATGCATGCAAAAGTGCTTCATCTGGTGTTTCTATTAGTCTATTATGTCTGGGAAATGGAAACAATGTAGTATTTTGTACCTTGCATTTATTTTTTTAAAAAAATTATTTGACTTTGAGAACTGAAGTTTTATCTGCAAGCCCATGTCAACATTGCAACTCATTTAAGTACACAACATTCTGGATTTGAGGTATCAGACCAGGTAAACAGGCATTCCAAAACAAGTGATCTACAATATGAGCCATGGATACTATCTTCATTTTCCTTCCCGTTCTTCCAGTTCCAAAATAATTATGGTTTTTGAGCTATGCCGGCTTTCATCTTTTCTTCTTTTTCCTCTTTGTTTCTTTCTAAATTTCTCGTGCTTTACATGTCTGTAATTCTTTTCATTTCTGGAATTTGCTAAATTCTTTTCGATGTCAGGCTATTTAGCACAGAGTAGGCTTTTGGAATTCGTGGGCCTATTCAGAAACTAGTTATTTCTGCCCTGATAGTGACATTAAGCAACTCAAGGAAGAGAGCCCTTTTTTAAGCATTAATTTCATAGACAATAGCTGGTAGTTTAATTATTCCTGTCTCCTTTAGAGATCAATCAAAAGGGATGAATGCTTTTGATGGAGTTCTTAAGAATCCTGCTTGTCATTATCCAAGATGTTTGATTGAACATATGTATGTTTTGTCCTCCAGTCTATACCGGATATTGCCTGGGGAAAAAGATCTCGTGTGGTATTAGATGTTGGATGTGGAGTGGCTAGCTTTGGAGGATATCTCTTTGAAAGAGATACGCTTACCATGTCTTTTGCCCAAAAGATGAACACGAAGCCCAGGTTCAGTTTGCACTTGAAAGGGGAATCCCTGCTATATCTGCTGTGATGGGAACTAGGAGACTTCCATTCCCAGGCAGAGTATTTGATGTTGTCCACTGTGCACGCTGTAGGGTCCCCTGGCATATTGAAGGTATTTATTTTTTTCTTCTATGGACTTGTTTTAGTAAATGTTAGGCTAACCAAAACTTTGACTCAAAGGTTGCTTATGCATTTGAATTTTAAAATACTAATTTTAGTTATGTCTCATTTATTATTCTAGATTGTTTGTTGCTTTTTTCTATTTTACATGGAGTGACTCTTACGAATTTTGTTAAACTAGTGGTCTGGGTGATTGTGATCATCCATGTTGTTTTTTGGGTCTTTATCTGAAATCGATCTGGTGCTGCAACTTCAGGAGGTAAACTTCTATTGGAGCTAAATCGAGTTCTGCGACCTGGTGGATATTTTGTCTGGTCTGCTACTCCTGTGTACCAGAAACTTCCTGAAGATACTGAGATTTGGAAGGGTAGATCATTATCTTAACCTGTTTTATTTTCATCAATGTTATTCCTTGATTTACTCTAACAAATTATGCATTTTGGTCGTATGTATGGCAGCCATGAAGCAACTGACAAAGTCAATGTGCTGGGACCTTGTGCAAATCAGTAGGGACAAGCTGAATAAAGTGGGAATTGCTATGTTTCAGAAACCTACATCAAATGAGTGCTATGAGAAAAGATCACAGAATGAGCCTCCCCTGTGCCAAGAATTTGATGATCCAAATGCAGCCTGGTACCTTTTACTTTACTTGAAATACATAATGTGTGTGTGTTTGTATTGGATCATGATTATTGGGGAAGCATGGTTATACCTGTGATAAAGTTCTCACCACATAAAAATGCTCTCCTATTTGCTGGTTACCTATCTCTTACTGGCAATGTTTTATTCATGTTTATCTATCTTTAAGTTTCCTGCAAAATACAAAAGAATATTATATTATTTGCAAAAGGCCCTTACAGTAATGTTTTGAAATTGGCTAAACTTAGGGCTTGTGCTATTGAACTGAACTTTAATTGGTTTTGACAGTTCTTGACTCTTACCAATTGTATAATGCCAATTACTATGGTTGGCCCAATGATTGTTTGAATTGTGTGCTGTGTAGGAATGTGCCATTGCAAGCCTGTATGCATAAATTGCCTGTTAATGCATCAGAACGTGGGTCTCAGTGGCCGGAACTATGGCCAGTGAGATTAGATAAACCACCTTATTGGTTGATTTCTGAGGTTGGAGTTTATGGCAAGCCAGCACCTGAAGATTTCACTGCAGACTATGAGCATTGGAAAAATGTGGTTACTAACTCATATCTTAAAGGAATGGGGATAAACTGGTCCACTGTGAGGAATGTCATGGATATGAAAACTATCTATGGAGGGTAAGCATAGTATTTATACTTAAACATAGAATGGCCTGTCAGATGCAAAATTTGGCAGTTGATTCTATCTTTCAAACCCATATATCCAAGTTTTTTTCCCTCTCAAATAATGTTGTGCATTTTGTAGATAAGCTAGTGAATAAACTCAGATTTTATTCAATTTGGCTGGACTTGGATTTTTTAAATCCTTCTTCATTTCATGGTTGGCATGCAAGCTATGGGAAAAATTCATGTGTAATGTTGTGGTTTATTTTTTTGGAGCATGGTCTTGTTAGATCAATGCGTTAGGTTTTCATCTTATTGTTGGCATAATCTCTTTCTTATGTTGGTGTTACTTTCTAAAGGATGATCTGGTTTTTCTCATTCTTTTAATTGCAGATTTGCTGCTGCTCTGAAAGACTTGAAAGTGTGGGTCATGAATGTGGTCCCAATAGACTCTCCGGATACTCTGCCATAATTTATGAGCGAGGTCTATTTGGAATTTATCATGATTGGTGTGAATCATTTAGCACCTATCCTAGATCTTATGACCTTCTCCATGCAGATCATCTCTTCTCCAAGATCAAGTGTGTTCTCCTTCTCATTCCTAATAGAAGAGAAATAATATCTTCAGTACAAATCACCTGGTCCTGATTTTATAATTATTTTGTGGCCACACAGGTGCAATTTAGTGGCTTTGATTGCAGAGGTTGATCGCATTCTAAGACCAGACGGAAAGCTTATTGTCCGGGACAAAGTTGATACAATGAATGAGCTGGAGAGTTTACTTAAGTCCATGCACTGGGAGATTCGCTTTACCTACTCCAGGGATAAGGAAGGAATACTGTGCGCCCAGAAGACTGTGTGGCGTCCAGCCGAGGTGGAGACAATCATGTATGCTATAAGTTAAATATGTTCTCTAGTTGCAGTTTTCTTGATGACAAGGAAGAATAGGTATTCTTTTTTTTTTTTTTTTGGTTGGTTTTGTTTTGTTTTTTAATTGTTGCTAATTCTAAATCACGGGGTAACATGTAACTTTGCAAATTAGGGCATATATATTTTCAACTAGCATTATCGTTAAGCTTTTTGTTTCGTCATTTGGAGGTGGTTCTTGCCTTTTTCATTGTAGTTATGAAATTGAGGTGCTCTGAAACTATGAAGCCCACTGTTAGCAATTGCTAGCATTTTTTTGAAAGGATATTTTTGCTTGATATTTTTGCTTAAAATGATTGGCTTATTATGATTCTCAAGCTTCATGTTTAGAATAAGATGTTGGCGATATCAGTGATGGAGGATGATTCATTACTATCGTGATTTCAAGGAATTTTCTTTCTTGTTTGGCTAATAAACTCTGTTGGGAAAACAGTTGTCCTTGAGGGAGATTTCAGACAAATATTACAGTCGGGCCAAAATGGAGGACGAGACCAGATAGCTGTAACTTCACGAAGATCTTCACCTCTTTGAAATAATTGTGAGGTTGTGTATATATCTAAGAACAAACATGCATATTTTGTCATTCACTACTGAAAGATAATTTAGATCCCAATTTCAATAATTTCGTTGCCAACGGATCGGATTGAGACCGAATGGTTATAGGTTCAAATATAAATCTAATAATGGTTTGTTATATCTTATTTGGATTCAAAATCTTAGAGTATGTGCTTGATACTATTGTATTTCAATTTGGATGAAATTTGATCTAAAAAAATATAGTTCGAATTCGAATTTTTGAATTATTACACGTAGATTATTTTTATATTTTACAAAATATAATTAAAAATTAAAATAAGAATTTTAAACAAAAATATATGAATTAATAAATAATTTTGGAGTTTAAAAGTATTAATATAAATATCACATTTGGTTCATTGTAAATATTATATTTAAGATTAGTTTATTTGTAATGCATTTGACATTAGCTTATTAATATTATGTAACAATTATATTTGATCTATCAACATGCATGTGTTCTACTCACATTTTTATAAAAAAATAGAAATGTGTCTAATTTCTATTTTTAATAAAATTAATTTATTAATTAAGTGTCACAAATGAAGTCTATAATGTGATATATATATATATATATTTTATATGTACCTAATATTAATGTATGTATATTTGTATGTATCTATATATATATATATGTATGTGTATTTGTATTCAAATTCAAATTAAATTAAATAAAATTCATATTTGTTCATTTGTTTTGCATTGCATTTTTTTAATCAGAATATATCAATCAAATCTTTTGTCAATTAAATATTTAAACTTTCATTTGTATGTTGACCGTGAGAATTTAATTATGAGTTAAATTTTGTAATTATGTTTCGGATTAGAATTTTTTGAATTATTATAATGGTGAAAGCTGTTTGGATGATAATATTTTAAAATTGTGTATTTTGTAAAAAGTATTTGAATGTTGCTAATTTGAAATGCCCAGGTTGGGTGTAGGTGTTTGGATGACTTATTTTCAGTTGTATGTTCAACTGCATTTTGGAATTGAAAAATAAAAAAAAAAAAAAAAACATAGACATTTAAATAAAGATGATATTAAAACAAAAAAAAAAATAACAAACAATTAAATAAACATTATCTTAACACACCACAAATTAAAAATCATCTTTTTCCAATTCCAGGCACATAGTACAAAGCACCACAAATGTTTTACTACTGCAACATCTAAAAGATTAACCACCTCAATGCCACACCAAACGGCCCAGCCTAGGTGAACCAAAAGCTGCCTAGTTGTGTCGTGCCATAATTAGTTTTCAATGGCATCTCTCAGTTGGCTCACCAATGCAATTTGAGCTTGGGACATAGCTACATTAGATGCACTTTTAGGTACATGACTGCGTGATGTAGTATCCTGTACAATATTGAGGTCCTCTCAATCCTAAAACTATAGGTCATCATTTGTGTATTTGCAAATAAAGTTGCGGATGCAAAACATGCAAATAACAGTTTGACACTATTGTCTAAGCATGTAGTTTGTCATCTTCTAGTTTAGGACTGCAAATCTTGACTTTAATATATCAAAACAACGCTTAATCACGTTATACAACCACAAATGCTTATAATTATAGAACTCCAACGATATGGGTATCCCTTCTACTCCCTCTCAAATCTTGCAAATAATAATGCAAACTTATATATAGAGCAAGAAAAGCGACATGTTGGTGTAAGCCAAGTGCACAACATAATATTTTTCTATGAATATTAGATAATAAATATTAAAATTTAATCTATTTCTCATAAAAAATTGAGTAACACACATCAAGTAGTAGTTTCCTGTAAAATCAACATCTAATAAGCAAGATGTATTACCAGTGGAGGCATGAGAAAATTTATTTTCAAGTTTGACTAGTACATTGAGTACCACTCTAGAGTTATTGATACTCTCTATCTTTCTAGACTTGATATATGTAAAGTATATGTCAAAAGTTACAAACAATCAATACATTTTAAAAGAATTTGAATTTTTTAAAGTGAAATACAATTGGGCAAATATAGTGATTCCATTAAGGGTACCAACACAATCTTACAATACAATAAAAATAGTTAAATTAATAATCATAAATGCGTATGTATAAACTTATCTTAAAAAATATAATTCAATTATTTATAACATAAGTACGCAATACATACTTTGATATATGGATAAAACTTGGGATCTCTTGTTATTCTTAGAAGTTTGATGAAAGTCATGAAGTACTATCATCTCCTTGCTAAGCTTTACAATTGCTCTCATTACCCCTCTTACATGCCTATTAATACTTTTAGTTGAATGTTGAAAGTTTTCAATTAACATTCATTGTCTTTTATTATGTTATGCAGTATAAAGTAAAATAGTTGTTGTCTCTTCTATTTTTATTTACGTGTATACGAGTCATTCAAATAGTTTATATATTCTTGTTGGATATATTTCTTGAAATAACCTATATTCATCCATGCAACTTTATATATCCTAGTTGGATTACTATGAATCTACTCATCTACCTACTCTAATCATGCACTCTTAGATTCTTCAAGAAAGTCTTTCTATTTTCTTCAAATTCATAGCAATTGCGTACATCCATTAAGTCAGACATGTCATTATCTAATTCATTAAGTCAAACAAAATGGTCATAGATGTTGAAGCGGCACAACGTCCCCATGAAGCTAGCATTTGGTATGATAATAAATAAAAATGATGATCAAACAATTAAAAATCCCATGAACAATTCTATGTCTCCTTTCAAGAACTACAAGTTCAATGGGTTTTAAATTAATAAAACATAAAGATGGCCAGTTAGATGATTAGGCAATGTGGTGTACTCTAATGTTTTAAACAACTTTTACAAAAATAAATATATTAATTTTTTTACCTCTAGATGTTATAATTATCTTGTATCTAAATATTCCATATTCTAGTTAAATGATTATTTACGCAACGTGGTGTAAACTGATGTTTTAAACAACATTTACAAAAATAAATATATTAATTTTTTTTTTACCTCAGGATGTTATAATTGTCTTATATCTAAACATTCAATATGATTTATGTTTATTTACTAATCTAATTATATCTTTTGTTATAGGGCATGGCTTAATCAAAATTTTAACACTTAATAGAATTCTTCCAAAAGGGTTTTGGTGAAGATTAGGGTTAGGCTAACATGGCATTGATCACGTGCTAAATATGGTTGTCATTATAATAGCATGAGTATCAAAGTAAGGACTTAATTGAAAGAATTAAAAGATATAAGGGGTTATTTAGAACAAATAAAAGTTTTGAGGACTTAATTGAAATATTGGGTATTTAGGGACCAAAATTGAGAGCACATGAAACTTGGGGGACTAAAGTCAAATCAAAGAAAACTCTAACCCACCATGCGCCTATATATATATACATCACCCTCTTCCTTGTGCTGCCATAGACACTGTGGCATAAGGACTTTGAGCGGTTGAGGGAGCTCTCGGCTGAGCTTCACCCGATAGCTGGCCATTCTTCTACTAGTGGTCGTGGCAATGGACCATCGGTAATCTCCAGTGTTTAATTTCTTCCTCCCTCTCTCGGTGATTCTAAGCTCCCTTCCAAATCTTCCTTCCTCTCCCCTATTCAAGTAGACCACAAGTGAGCTTCCATAATTCTCAAATGTTCTTCCCTATTTTATGCTTATCGATGAATATACGTTTAACATAGAACTGTGGAGGCCAGATGAAGTACACGACATCTCCGCCTTCCTTTTTGAAGGGCTGTAACCACTTGCTCCATTTCAACTTATTTATGTGGAATCAAAACTGGGGGCCTTACATTGACATAATACTGCAGACCCTCCACGATAATCTCTCCTTTCACTTTTTTGTTATGCCATTTAACCCATTGAAGCCACCCCTGTTTCAGCTGGCTAAACTGCCGACCGGGTGATTTCTTTGTTCATCCAAGCCCCAAGTTCTTTGACTTATGGTCTAGGTTTATTAGCTTTAATCTTCCCTCATATTCGACCATGCTCTGTTCAGCTAGCTTGTGCCTAGCTAGTAGAGTCGGTTGTGAGGTTGGCTTGACCATTAACCTTTGTCTACCTCTAATAAAGGGAAATAGAAGCTGGCCGAAGCTGGTCAAGGGAGTTGATCACCTGGTGACACTTTCAACCCTTAAACTCTAGAACTTCCTTACAAAAGCTTGTCAAACGTGATGACTACCTATTGATTGGCCATTTGACCCTACAGTTTCATGCCTTAAAAGAATCTAAAGGGTTAATTGTTATAATTCTGCTTGGATTGATAAAATAATAATATAAGAAAATTGCTTTTGAAGGGTTGATCTAGATTGATGGATTGATCAGAAATTGCCTATGATGTAAATATGTTAACTAGCCTCGAAGGGGATAGTTTAAGAGAATTATTCTAATTAACTCCTCCTTGCATCTT